TTACCTCACACACTACCTTACCTATACATCAACATCCGCACAACCACACAAACTGTTTATCTCAAGCCAGCCAATCAGAAGCCACGATTCAGAGACGACCCGAGGAGACGTCAAACACAGACTCGTTCTGTCGTTCAGGGTGTCAGCTGGGAAACGTATGCGTCTGTCCTGTCAGCATTGGCTCCATATTTGGGGGTCACGGTAAAATCTACATTAAACAAACACATCCAGAAAGACGTTTCGTTAAACAACATAAATCATACAGACGACACATTACCAGGCCTCCTTTAAAAGAGCTTCACATTCAAAACAGGATCTGCGGCTTTCTTTAGCTGGATCGCATTATCATCACTCAAATCTGCAGAATCTGTGACATGAACTCTCTAAACGTGAGCAATGTGATTATTAGCAGCTTAATCTCATTACATAACATTCTCATTTGCGTGGACATCACATGAACCGATCAGGGAAGATATTATTTGTTCACACAGTGAAAGGGTTCAATGTTTACGGAGGCGCATTGCATTCACTTGAAGAAAAAAAAAATCGACTCTGTTTTTCTGAATTAACGAGTTAATTTTTCATGGAAATTTTATTTTGCTCTGTTTTTCTGAATTAACGAGTTAATTTTTCATGGAAATTTTTTTTTGCTCTGTTTTTCTGAATTAACGAGTTCATTTTTCATGAAAAATTTTTTTTGCTCTGTTTTTCTGAATTAATCAGTTAATTTTTCATGAGAAAAAAAATATTTTGCTCTGTTTTTCTAAATTAACGAGTTAATTTTTCATGGATTTTTTTTTTAATTAACTCGTTAATTCAGAAAAACAGAGCAAAAACTTTTTTTCTCACGAAAAAATTAACTCATTAATTCAGAAAAACAGAGCAAACATTTTTTTCTCATGAAAAATTAACTCATTAATTCAGAAAAACAGAGAAAAACCTTTTTTCTCATGAAAAATTAACTCATTAATTCAGAAAAACAGAGCAAAAAAAATTTCTCATGAAAAATTAACTCGTTAATTCAGAAAAACGGAGCAAAAAAGTTTTTCTTCTCATGAAAAATTAACTCATTAATTCACTTTTTTCTTCAAGTGAATGCAATACGCCTCCGTAAATGTTCATTGCATGGATCAAATCAGTCGAATCTTCCTTTAAAATATCTTTGAATGAAATGAGAGTGAATAAATAATGAGAGAATGATCATTTCTAGGTGAATAATTCCTTTAATGCCACAGTGTTTTGATATGTTGGCACTTCCAGTTGATAAAGACGCTGAGCGTTGTAATAATGGCAGACGTACGCCGCTGCTTTCTCACAGATATCATGACACCATCGAGACCTTGAGAATAAGGGACGTGACCAAAGACATCAGATATTGGCACTAAATGCTAAGCTCAAATTTAGCCAGTGCATGTACACCATTATAAGTCAAAGGCTCCTTTTTCACCATTATGTGTGTTTATCGAGGAACTATTGTATTTCACGCACCAAGCAGGACTGAGAGCAGTGAAACAGAGAAGATCCTCCGTCAGGAAAGGTCAGCAAACCGACAGTCAAACACACTGATGCTGTAACGCAACTGGCGAAAACATGCATGCTAAAGGAGATTACGTCACTTCATGGACGTTTCGTGACACTTTCAAAGTGAAATGTGGCATTAAAAGCATGTTCAGGTTTCTCCCAAACACATGAACGTGATTCTGGCAGTGTTTTATTAAAGCTGCAGTCTCCTCTTTGTCGCCATCTCTGTTTGAAATCTGCAATTGCAGTGATTGGCGGAGTGATCAGCACGGCACAGTGTGGATGAACACGATGTTTGTGTGTCAGTCGAATCACAGATTATTTAAGCCGCAGAGAGACTTTACTACGCCAGAACACACACCTCAAAATGTGTTTGTTCACAAACTGTGCACTATGGGAAAAGTGTTTTCAGCTCGTAACAGCGTTGAAGAAACTGCATGAAAACAAGTGTTTATTAATCAATAATCTGCCACTAGAATCATAAAGAAAACCAATAAAGATTATTAGTGTTGTCTGCAGTGAATTGTGTGTATAGGTGTGTGTGAGTTCCAGTGGACGATTAAGAGAGCCAGAATTAGGAGACGGATGTGGGCTTTTGCTTTATTAAAGGCCCTGAAAACTATATATTAGCCTGGCCAAAGACTGCAAATGAATATAAACACAGTCTGGACACCCGATCAATACCGGCTCACAGATGAGTGTGTGTGTGTGTGTGTTTTCAGGCCTGTATCACACACTGGTCTGGGGAAGCACGTATAGCTCCACCATCAAGACTTTAATTGAGCAAATCTGCAGGCTGGAGACGTGTGTGTGTGTGTGTGTGTGTGTGTGTGTGTGTTTATCTAGCAAATGCACCACTGACACTACAGCAGAAATCATAACTGGACCTGCATTTATCACATTTATTTTCACATATATATGTTGCAATTATCGTGGTTATTCAACCAAATCACAATCGTTAGAATTTGAAGTTGAAATTTAGAATTTAAGTTTCAATTTCAATCACACTGGGCCTTCCAATATTATATCCAGTTATATTATTCTAAATTAGGGATGCACTGATATGAACATTTTGGCCAATACCGATAACCGATAATTCTTTATATTTGAAAGCCGATGACCGATATATCGGCCGATGAATCTAGATCCAATTTTTATATAATTTTTGAAATCCTGATTGCAAAAACAAAACTCTCACAATTAAAATCTGTCCCCTACCACAATAGTAATGTTCTCATTATAATTTCATGTAGCCGATATGACTTAACTATATTTTCCTTTTTGATTCCAATCATATTTCAAGCAATTAAGATCAATCATGTTGAACAGTGCGCATCTTAAGTGTTGAAGGAAATAATTCATTATTTATCAGCTTTAATATATCAGCCAAATTTTATTATCGGGCCGATAACGATAACATAGAAATGAGCAAATATCGGCCGATACCGATATGGTGGCCGATATATCGTGCACCCCTATTCTAAATAGTGAATTAAATAAATATTGATAAATAACACAGCATTAAATCACATCTGCATTTTTTTCTGGAAAAAATTATATACATTATATATAGACTGGAGTAATGATGCAAATATTCAGCTTTGATGTCAGGAATATATTGCACTTATTCAATATTCACATAGAAAACAGCTGATTGTATAATATTTCAGGATTTCTACTGTATTTTTGATCAAATAAATCTGCTTGGTGAGCAGAAGAGACTCTTTTAGAAACACACTTTTGAGGGGGTAGTGTGTGTGTGATGCTTGGCCCAAGCATCTATCATAGATGCACTTGTATCATGGATAGATGCACTTTTATGGACTTTCAAAACAGAAGCAACCATTTACAGGCAATATAAAGCTTGGAAGGGCCAGGATATTGTTTAATATAACTCTAGATTGTTTTCATCTAAGAGAAGAATGTCATATTGCCCATACTCCCCCCCATTTTAAAATGTGAAACTATTACTTACTCCAAGAATGATATGTACTCATGAGTATACCGGGGTATACATTATCCAAACCACTAGAGGGAGCTCTTTCCAAGGTCTGCTCAAGAATGCGCGCAATATAGCAGTTAATGCAGAGACGAGCAGATAACACACACACACAGGCATAATTCTCGTTGTGTATGCATGAGACCAAGACAATCTTCTATTCGTGAACAGTTGTATTTTTATTCATTAATCTGACTAATTTGCTCGTGTGATTGTAATATATCCCAGTAGTATTTTAAATGATAGTTGATTCTATAAACAACGAGATCATTTTCGTCTTTCTCCGGTGTGGTGAAGAGATGAGTCCCACCTTAGGACCCCAGTATGCCTGATCTAAATATGTTCTCACGATAACTTGATAAAAGCAGTTTGTTGCCATCAAGTAATATGTTTATTTGTTTAGCGCTTTTCAAGTAATTTATTTGTTTAGCGCTTTTCATAGTAGGTTGCGTCAACAGCAGAGGAGAAAGTTCGCGAAATTTTATTACTGTTATTGTGTCATGAAATGTAATTGTAAGAGTTTTTAAGTCGAGAATATAGTTGTTTAAAGCTCAAATCTGTGGTTTATTTATAAAGATTGCGCCTTTTTAAAACATGTTCTGACGTTTTCGGAGTTGTCAGAACCAGGGATCAGCAGCACATCTAGCCCGCCTGGAACAGCCTTAACTCGGCTAGTCATTCTGACGTTTGCCGCGGATAAATGCTATGCTACTATGTAAGCTAACTAAAAAACAATAAGAACGAGAAATGTTTAAATTTACAATCTACAGCTTTGGTTATATATAAAACATATAAGTTAAAATACATTAATGACTCCTTATAACGTTCGTCTCTTATAATAAACTGATTTTCTCTAATTTGTAACCAGGCACTAAGCGTTTACCCATAAAACTAGCTTTGAACCAATCGGATCGCTTGGGTCCTAAGGTGGGACTCATCTTTTCAGGGGGACTCTTTTTTTATTTTATTTTTTTTTTATTTCCAAAATTATATATTAATACATTAGAAACAACAATTCACATATATTTTCCAAATTATTCCTACGCATCATGCAATATGAAACACTGAAGTTAACATTCTTATCAATGAAATTAAAGAACATTAGGATTACATATAAAAAATAAAAATAAAAAAAGAAACATAACATAAAGGAGGTATACTATACATATATAGTTACATTAAATAAGAGGAGTTCAATTCTTTGAAGATGTCCATCGTTCTGGTTGCTTTGCGATTTGAGAGACCTTTCAGTGTTTCAAAGTAAATTTTCAAGTCAGCTTTAAAGTGGTAAATGTTAGGTGTCCTTCCAGACCATTTATGTATGTAAAATTTACCAAGAAATAAGATCAAATTTAACATAAAAATGAGACTCTTGTTTATATCTTTTTTACCATAATAAAAAAAAACATCTCTTTCTTCAGGGGGACTCATCTCTTCACCACACCGGAAGTGTCCGACCGCACACTCACGCCGTCACGGATAAGAAATCCAAAATGGCGGCCACGTGCAACTAGCATAGAGGCAAATAGCGGAGATGTTCCACTGATGATTGACTGTGTTGCTACTGTTATATCTTTTTTGCAGGTAAGATTACTTGTGTCTATTATAAGTCAAAGGGGTCCACGAACAGTTATGTTTAGTATTTGAGTATTTAGGATTTATGTTAAGTAACGTAAGTTTTGAGCACGAAATTGTTATCACCCGTGGATAGAGCGTGATCAGAAACAACGCGGCAATGAAACTTCGTATGTGAAACGATAATTGGTATTATGCAATGGAGATGGAAAGACAGTATGCACAGTACTGTTATTTAGAGGTTGTGTGATATTGATGGGTAAAATAATAGTTTAATTGACGCGAGTTCAGTAACACACGTGGAGTTCGCGGGTGTCCGCCATTTTGCGCAAGTTGCATGCAGCGGGGACATTAGAGTTAAAGGGCAACTCCTAGGGCTGTATCGATACACCAAACCCACGATTCGGTTCGTATCACGATTTTTTGGTGAAAAATAGATTTTGAGAGGAAAAAATATACAGGTATTTTTATTAAATAACATTTGGAAAAACGTATAGAATCTGAACACCAAAAAACAATAATAACTATGCAAATTATTAAACTAAACTAGGCAGTGTAACGTTATAGGCTGCTGCTTTTGGGTTGTTTTCTGTACTCTAACTATATATTATTTATAAGGCTATACCCTTCTTGTTTTGAACTTCATGCATGTGTATTGCATGTTAAACAAGTATATAATGTAATGATAACAAGACTGTTTTATTTTGGTGATGATGTGTAGCCAGATCGCGTGCGATTAAGCCTAGTTCACACTACATGATTTTAAAATGTCGGGCTGAACTGTGCAGTTCACACTACATGACTTGCTCTCAGTGAAATCATGAGTGTTCAAGTTGTTTAGCTGTTCACACCACACAACACAACGTGATTGATCCGCCACAGGAGGTAACTCACTCGTAAAATGTCCTCGTTTTTGTCCACATCGTAAACATATTTATGTAGCAACAGATACATATAAATTAAATAAATAAATAAATGGCGGTAATAGGGCATATCGCGTTATTGAGCCACTCAACATTACCGCAAGGGAAATGTTATAACCGCGACAGCCTTCGCAGAAGTGAACGCGCCAAAGAGAAATGTACTTTTCATACGGATTACATAAGCAGAGAGCGGTCTGTTTTCTTTCTTTTTGAATTGTTCTTTTTAAAAGTAGACATTTCAATATATATTTATTTCTCAGGTCTATAAGCTTATAGGGTTAAGATTCATGAGACGAGCTCCAAATACAGGCGCTTACTGTGCGCATGCTCTGACTCACGTGACAGACACCCGGCCGATAGAAAGTAACATGATGATTAAAGCAATAAAGGCCAGAAGCATAAAGTTGTTTTATGCGACCTTTATCTACAGTTTTCATGCATATTTGACAAAAAATTGTGTTTTGTTGGAGATCTGACCTCTTGTACTCAAACCACTTCCATACTATTGAAGTAGGTCTCTTTTTAGGAACTAAATCTTGATCTGATCCAGAGGCTGACATGCTGCTGTGCTGTTGTGCGTGCGCTAAGTAATGTAAATACGACATATGTCATCGTGCCACTATTAGGGGTGTCCCGATTCTCCAAATCCTCGATTCGATCAAGTTATCGATTCTAAGGTCACGATTCGATTCTCAATTTAAAAAAAAAATGTAAAGCGTAGATTGCTATGCAATTTTTAGACTACACATTTATGCATTATGCAACATAAATTTGTTCACAATGTACACTACACCATTGCCAAATTTAAAATATAACAAAAACAAGTAACATAACTTAATAGTATAACATTTAAAGCCCCTGAAATGACTAGAAAAAAAGTTTAGTTAATTTTGATGAACGAGATTGAACAAATAGAGTCAGTAAAACGATCCGAACTTTCCATCACGGACGCGACATGGGGCGTGGCAATATCGACGATACCATTTTTTATTTTGATTTCGACACCATTGAATTAATATCGAAATCGTCACACCCCTAGCCACTATAGACCATTTCACAAGATGTAAACAACACTGGTCCAGAAGCACTTCCTGTTTCAGTTTGTAACTGTTTTCTTTATTTCACATGTAAAGAAAATATCTTAAAGATGTTTGTTGAACTTTTTGATTCAGTTTTAAATGTTCTGTTGGTTGTATTTTATCCCAGCTCTTATGTAGTGTTAAAAAACTGAAACAGGAAGTGCTTCTGGACCAGTGTTGTTTACATCTTGTGAAATGGTCTATATCATCAGTATCGCGTCCTCGCACAGCTATATCATCAATATCGCGATATGACACTTTTTTTATCATGTAAAATTTTATACCGGTATTATCGTGGACGGTATGATATGGCACAGCCCTACCTACCCCTGAATATTAAAAGTTGTTTTGACCAGTTATCACAGCAAAAACTATGAGCTACTAGAACATTACACACAGATAAAGTGGTAACAGTGGAATCACTGTTTTACTCCAAAAAAAGCCAAAAAGAAAATATTCTTGATAATAGAATAGAATAAGAATAGAATAGAGTGGCAATTGTGGCTTTATTTGAGAAATTGCTAAAGTGCAATTAAAAACGTAGTATGCAACAATAAGATGCATATTATTTGTAAACACAAACATTATACAACCCAGTTTTTAACTTGTGCAAACTGCAAAGTTGCAAACATTCTGAAACAAAATAATAAAATAAATATCTAATACTGAGGTGCATTGAACAAAGGTTAGGAATGCATACTTGAATATAAAGTATGAAACAAACATGACACTTGGAGTGTGTTGAACATAAAAATGAATAAGACAATCCCTGAATAAACACTGTATTTGGTCTTGGTTAGTTCGGTATTATACACTTAAAGCCCTGTTTTAAGATCGTTTCTGATGAAATAGAACGGTTAAGATTGAAATTTGGACAAATGCTGTTGTCCCGAGAATTTTAGGTTTGTGTGTTAGCACCCACACAATCATTCATAAACGCATTAAACATTAGTTTGCAAAGACGTCAAACTCACTCGGTGTAACATAACAGAAAATTAACTATTCATATCGGCGAATTACAATGTTTGATAAAGATGGGTTTCACTAGTCTTTATGTTCCTGCAATTTTACTGTATCATTTGAGAAATAATATTTTAACATTAGACTAGGGCTGCACGATTCTTGCTAAAATGTGAATCACGATTTTTCTCCATGGGAATTGAGATCTCGATTCTCTTACACGATTCTCTTTTTTTTTTTTCCCATCCAAAATGTATTGCACTCAAGTAAAAAAATAAAAAAATAAAAATAAAAAACACAAGACAGTCTAATAAAGTGCAGTAACAAAAAAAATCTAAATTGTTTAAGCTGGTTCTTTGGGGCTAGCCTATGTAGCTGTCTGTGTATTAGTCATGAACTAAAAGTAAGTGTAGGCTATATTTAATATTTTCTGGCTAGTTTACTATAGCTTTTTTTATAATCAGACATCACACTTTCACCCAAACTGAATAATTACAAACAAGTTTAAATGGGTAGCCTAAATCTTCTATAAATATTTGAGTCTTCATATCTAAAACTCTCCAAAATGCTCTATGTGAAACTGCGGTTTTCCAAACTTTCGTGTTGTTTGAAGACCTCTCTCTCTCTCTCTCTCTCTCTCTCTCTCTCTCTCTCTCTCTCTCTCTCTCTCTCTCTCTCTCTCCGCCCTTTCAAGCGCAGCAGTTTCTATTCTACATCATCACTCGCCGATCAAACTAGGCTTTGGCGGGACTAATATGTGCTAAAGCGGCCTCCAAAAAGCAGACGATCTGACGGTTTTAGAAGATTAACAAACCGAAATTAAAAAACAGACCCGCCCTATTTGAGACGAGCTTTTATTTACCCAAACCTGCAGCCATACAGGCGTGTAAAAGATACAGGTATTTTGTCCCTCAAAAGTGTGCTTTCACTTTAATTGAGCGCACGTTTCACTGCTGCTCACGCGCTGCCCCTGCTCCCGGTGAATACTTTGATTAACATGCAAGCCCAAAAAAAATATGCGCTGCTCACGTGCAACAACTTTAATTTAGACATTCCCTGATGAAACGTCCGCATGATTGATTTGTGAATTATTGTTTTGTTTTTGTGTGAGTGTGACCAATATAACGCGTGAATGCAGCATGATCTGAATGCAGGGAAATACACGGAAGTGAATCGCCATCATTAAGAAAGGAGATCGCATTTATGTTTGAATCGAGATCGTGATTTTTTTTCGATTAATCGTGCAGCCCTACATTAGACCACTTTTATTCTTTCAGTATACAGTCTGTAACAATCTGTTTCTAGCAGCAAAATGTCAGTGCATTTTAAAATGTCAGTGCCATTGTTTTGTCTCAAGATGCACATTAGTAATGTTTTTTTTTTTTTTTGGAGGACCACACTTGCGGTCTTTGCACTTGTGTACTTGCACGATGTAGGTATTTCCTGCGTTTAGCCCAAGTGTTCAAGCAGGTGTGATGACTAGAACTTTTGATTACCCAATGGGACACACTTATAGTGACACAAAAATGCAAGTGTTTACAGAGCTTTATTTAAATTTTAAAATCAACAATGTCTGGTTAGTAGTCCCAATGTAACAAAAGGCATAATTAAAAAATATGGTGCTTTTAATTAAGTGATTTTAAAAAGCAGCTGCAAATGTACAAAATACACATACCATACTCATCTTTGCAACATTATAATGACACTTTAACAATGTGTTTTTCTACCAAATTACATGTAAAATGTAGTTCATTTAACTTACAGTGGAATGTTTTCCTCATCATCTTGTGATTTCAGTGCATGTGAGTTCCCGCACCTAATGCATGATGGGATACGCTCCAATGCGGTATTCAAGATAGTGTACATTTAGTGTGTGTTCAGGGCATTGCGCGGATAGTAACAATCGGTTTTGAGTGTTGTTCACCCAAAATGAAAAATTCAAGTTTATAGAGTTTTAGTGTCGGTGGTACTACATTAAACTACTGTATTATGTTGAGTATAATAAAGCAATGAGGGGATATTTGTCAGTCCTGATAATGCCAAATGTCCTATGTTACCAATAAAATTGCAAGCATATTCATCTAAATATAATTCAGCTTCAGAATCATGACTTCTTTTTATTCCGGTGTCTGTGGTCCTGTGCATTGGTTTCCCAGCACCAAGTCCAAACCTTTTCATTTCCACTCCCAATGTAATACCAAATTTAGCATTTTCATCAACAGTAATTTCTTTGTTTACCTTTTACCATATGAAGAGCTCTTTTCCAAAACGCGTTAAACGACATTTTAAAAAAAAATGAGTTTGTCGTGTCATTCTGCTGCGGACAGAACCCTTTCACTGCTCTATCAACGTTTCATGCCGAATCGCTATATTTCCTTGTTTAAAATGTACTGCAAGATACAGTTTCTTTCCAAACCACGATAAGCGCCAGCCCTGTTTTTAGCCTAAACACGATAAATCCTCAAATTCAATGAGCGCTCTACACAATCCAGCACGGCGGCGCTCTGAACAGAGGTTTATTATGTTCATTCATTCCTCAAAATGAGTCCTAGTTTTCTAGTCGACTAGTAGTAGATCATTTAAGCCATTTGTATTATCAGTAATCACATATATATATTGATTTAATTAAATGGGAGAGAAACCATATGAGCGTTTTTAATTGCATATTCCGCATCTCAACGTATGCATAAAGCTTGCCACAAAGAACCGGCAAAAGTAATGATTATGCATGAAACATTTGAATTGTTTATTAATAAACTAGTGTTTTCTGTCAGTGTCAGCAACAAAGATAAAGTTGATGATGCTTACTCGCCATCTTCGCAGTGAACGCGCAGAGAAACGCATACTTCGAATTAGCCTACATACGCAGAGAGTTGCCAATTTATTTTAGTTTTTAATTGTTTTGTTTAAAAGTAGATATTTAAAGCTTTCTGTAGCTTAGTTCTCAGGCCTGTGTGAGGCAAGCGGCGCGGTGTTTCGGTTCATATTATGAGACGCGCTCCGGTTCACCTGCGCGCCTCTGTGTCCTGATTATATTGTCTGATATTTACTTCTAATGTATTAATCCAGTCAATTTGTCGATGAAACATTTATTAAAATGAAGATACAATTTATATGAAACGAAATTTACAAGCTTTCTACAAAACAAAACTTAATAAGTGGTCAAAATCATGTCTGACGCACTCCAAATATTTTCCGATATTGGGCAGCTTTTGAATTTTGATCCTATCTTACTCATCTCATGCGGTTCCCTTTTCATAGCCTACTCAACATAGATGAAATAATAAAAATAAGTAATGTAATATTATTAAAAACAAATGTGAAATGTTTATTTTTTTTTTTTGTTTTTTTTTTTATATTTTTTTTTTATATATTTTTTTTAACTTATATTTAAGCGTCATGCTGCTCCGCTTTGCTCACATGTTATGTAGCCTGTGTGTGTGTGTGCATGTGCTGGAGGGGTGCCCATCCCTTTTTTGAATATCGTTATCATATATTGATCATTTTTAATAATTCGTTTTTTTCATGCATATGTTGAAATTGGTACTATTTGTTTGAGGTTTATTTCGATTTATAGCGTTTTGGGAAAAAATAAAATTAACTTTTAAATTATCATTAACAATATTGTTGTTTGATTTAATAATTATTGTTCAAAATGTTCAGACTGAACCAATAAAACATTTAAACAGGATAATTTGAATATTCACAAAATGTGTGGGTCTAGGTAAAAAATGTAGTTTTCCTGAAAACTATTGAAATGGATTTATAGCGTTTTGGAAAAGAGCTCTTCATATGTCTTGCAGTATCGCAATATCATTCGATATTCGGAGTTTACTATTATGATATATATCGAATCCTAACATGAGGGTATCGTTACACCCCTAGCCCAAAAGCTACTTAAATGCCCTAATTGAACAAAGGCCTATTCCTGGCTTAATCCAAGCCCTGTCTGTGTAATCAGACTTTTGAGATTAATTAACTTAAAAGTTACTTTACTAGATAGAAAAGGTGGGGATAAACATTTAAAATGTGTAAATTAGTATAAAAACAAACTCAGTATGTGTTTTCTTATTGATTTTGCCAGATCTCCTCCTTCAGTGAAGCTCCTCCCACTGCAGTTCACCAATAAACGCTGGAATATTCCCCTCAGCTACAAGTGAAGACGAGCATCAAACCATCAGGAAGAGCTGACACAAACACAGAGTTTATTGAAGGACACTGAGAACATGAGATCCAGAACACTGCAGAATGAAACGTACTGAAGAACAAAGAGGTTGGTGTTAATTCTTGGTTCTTTATTAAAGGCACAGTATGTAAGTTTCGCCACTAGAAGTCGCTTATTCTAAACAAAGGCATAGCTTGATGATGCCGTGAATGAGCGTGGAATCATTGGAGGTCTCCAACCGACCACCGCTTCGTCAGGGCGACCGGCCCCCCGCCCACTGACCGGTCCCCGGACACGCCCCCGTCCCACGAACCCACTATTTGTCCAATAACCCACTTTATTTTTTAAAGTTTTTCCTCAGTTCATTCAATAAGCTGCAATTGGACGCGATCCCACCGGCAATCTATTGAATGGGAATTCGAGTAGTGTTTTTGATAGACATTTTAATTAAAGTTTCTGTCGTGATAACTATTTTCCCGCACTCAGGAGGAACCCCCCCCCCCCCCCCCCGGGGGTTCGTAGCACCAAGCACCGTCCCAGAATCCACTGTCCGCGAACACACTATTTGTCCAATAACCCACTTAAATGTACTAACCCCGGCCTTCATGCAATAAGCTGCAATTGGACAGAATCCCGCCTGCAATCTGTTGAATGGGGATTTGGGTAGTGTTTTTTTTTTGGACATTTTAATTAAAGTTCCTGTCATGATAAAAACTATTTTACTGCACTCAGCTAGGGCCCCTGAGTCCGTAGCACCAAGCGCCGTCCCATAATTCCACCGACCACGAACCCAATGGCATAAATGCTACGTGGGATCTCAATATCTCAGCTCTGGAAGGGGCTAGAGCCTCCATTTTTGCACTCATGTCTAAGTCTCATGGCCCTCTATCAGAATCCAGAGTTTCAAGAAGATCAGAGAAACTTATTTTTTGCACCAAAAAAAAAAAAACGACAGGGGTACCACTGTCGTTTTTTTGGGGGGTCGAAATTGAGTTTCTCTGATCTTCTCAAAACTCTGGATTCTGATAGAGGGCCATGGGACTTAGACCTGAGTGCAAAAATGGAGGCTCTAGACCCTTCCAGAGCTGAGATGTTTATAATGGCATAAATGCTACGTGGGATTTGGATCTCAATATCTCAGCTCTGGAAGGGGCTAGAGCCTCCATTTTTGCACTCAGGTCTAAGTCACATGGCCCGCTATCGGAATCCAGAGTTTCAAGAAGATTGGAGAAACTTATTTTTTGCACCCAAAAAAACGACAGTGGTACCCCTGTTGTTGTTTTTTTCGGGTCGAAATTTTGAGTTTCGATATCTCAGCTCTGGAAGGATCTAGATCCTCCATTTTTGCACTCAGGTCTAAGTCTCATGGCCCTCTATCAGAATCCAGAGTTTTGAGAAGATTGGAGAAACTTATTTTTTGCACCAAAAAAAAAAAACTACAGGGGTACCACTGTCGTTTTTTTTGGGGGGTCTAAATTTTGAGTTGCTCTGATATAGGCAAGGTCTGCTCTCTCCCACGCACGTTTACCGCTTTACCGTTAACCGTTTTATACCTCGACGGTTTATTTTCCAGGAGTTATTTTTCGGCTTAAGCAAAATGTGGGTTTCTATTATACTCCAGCGGCAAAGTTCAGCTAAAGCCTTTAATATCCATTTATGAAGATATTCATTTCATATTCAGCGAAATTCATGAGGTAGAAAATGTTATTATAGAGCCCATGAAAGCCAAAATGAGCCAATTGAGAAAGAAAGTTTGCATGTGCCTTCTGTGAGCACCGTCTCTCCAACCAAATGCCAAAAGTATTTTTTTTCCAAAAGGAAGTTCCTCACGTAGGACTCGTAAAAAGCACATGCTGTACTCATGCATTTTGCTCAACACAAATCTATTTCTATCAAATCATTCATTGATCAACTTCTAATAATTAACTCTTGATTACTTTAGAATCAAGCTAACTTAATTTTTCCACAACAGTTCTGAAGCACGGATTTAATTTTTTACTCGTTCGGTTTGCTTTCACAAGGCAACATTTCAAAGCAGCGTACCAAAATGTGTTTATGCAAGCCACGTGTATAAAACGATCGTCTTATTGGTCAGAGTTTAACCAAAGAGGATAGAAGAACAAGAAGCAAAACTCTGATGCTTTTTTGGTAAAAGCCACTAGGTGGCGCTTCAGGAGCGCGGCCGCCATTTTGGGGTGAAAATTCCAACTGGAGTTACTGGACAACAGCATAGATAACAGTTTTTTGAGGTAGTTTTTTTCTTCTAATTTTTCCCAAGCGGCAAAATTCTAATCTGAAAAATGAAGCCTACGCGGAAGTGGGAAAAACTGCAATACATAGAAAATCCGCTAGAGGCCGGTCCCAAAAGGGAGTGAATATCCATAGACCTCACATTAAAATGTCCGTTTTCACAGCATCAATTCATATGTTTACAGTTTGACTTTTATTGTATTTTTCCTTAGGTTCTGAGTGCCTGACAACTGTGAGGTGAGTGAATTTTTTCTAACTCGTTAGTTTAGATCGTATTTGGATGTAAAATGTATGAAAAATAAGGGCGGTTAACTTTGATTGACAGCTGGTAACGGGCTGCGCCGAGTGGAATTGGACGTCTTGGCCATGATCTGACACGACGCATCTCTGTATCCTTTCTGAAACATTTGTATTTCTGAACATTTGTATTTTGTGTTTCTCAAGATTTTCTAATATGGCGCCGCCCATACCCCCCATAAACCTGTTCTTCAGAAAGTCTATGAGTGACGTCACAGACGCTTTGTCCATATTTTTTACAGTCTATGGTATTTCCATTGTATGCAACTTTACACATTTACTACTTCTATTAGTTACCAACTCCATTAGGCCTGAAATATATTTTGTACGTTTTAATCCCCTGGATCATGCTACAAACATGATGATCATTGATGCGCTGTGTCCGTTATCCTATGACTTTAATTGCCACTTTGAACAGTTTTTTTTACATAGTTTTGTTTTAACGGTCATTAATATAAGATAATACTGCAAAATACTTGTGTTGCAATGGAGCGTTCACTTCTTGTCAATATACGTTCTTTGGTTCAACCGTTTTCATTCCTCAAGATGGACAGAGATAATCGCTCCGCTGGCTTTGTTTATTCGACTGTAGCCTTGATTCCTGCTCTGACTGATAAATTAAATATTAAAAAATATATTACATTTATGAAGCAAGTTAGGCTTCGTCAAGACAGCATTCTTGCAACACGGAATCCTGCACACGTTTCTCTTATGAACTGTCTGAGATTCATTCTTTAGTAACACGTTACTTGAAGGGGTATGCATAAGACTAACATGATGTATGTTATGAATATGAAGGAAGGTTTATGCATGTTTGTGACAACTGTCATTAAGTGTCTTTTGCTCAGTTATGAAAGTTTTAATGCAAATATGACATTGTTTGAGATGTCTTTGTTATGACACCTTGACATTTACCAAGCAGGGATGGAAATCAACTCTTTTGTCCACCGGCGGCCACTGTGGATTTCTAAATCGACCAGCCACTCAACGTTTTTACTAGCCACTTTCTTGTTTTTAACCGACAATGTGTAACTGGTAACACTTTACAATAAGGTTCATTAGTTAATGTATTTACTAACATGCACTAACCATGAGCAATACATTTGTTACTGCATTTGTTCATCTTTGTTAATGTTAGTTCATGAAAACACAGCTGTTCATTGTTTGTTCATGTTAGTTCACAGTGCATTAACTAATGTTAACAAGATTTTAATCAAGTATTAGTAAATGTTGAAAATAACATTAACAAAGATTAACAAATGCTGTATATGTGCTATTCATTATTAGTTCATATTAACTAATGTAGTTAACTAATGTTAACTAACGAACCTTATTGTAAAGTGTTACCGTGTAACTGCATGTGAAAGTTAATGTGTATCTACATGTGAGTTAATGTGTAACTGCATGTGAGAGTTAATGTGTAACTGCATGTGAAAGTTAATGAGTAACTGTATGTGAGAGTTAATGTGTAACTGCATGTGAGAGTTAATGAGTAACTGCATGTGAAAGTTAATGTGTAACTGCATGTGAGAGTTAATGTGTAACTGCATGTGAAAGTTAATGAGTAACTGTATGTGAGAGTTAATGTGTAACTGCATGTGAGAGTTAATGAGTAACTGCATGTGAAAGTTAATGTGTAACTGCATGTGAGAGTTAATGTGTAACTGCATGTGAGAGTTAATGTGTAACTGCATGTGAAAGTTATTTAGTAACTGCTGTGGAAGTTGATGTGTAACTGCAGTGAAAGTCTATGTGTAACTACAGGTGAAAGTCGGTGAGTAAAGTGCATGTTACTGTTGATGAGTATCTGCAGATGAAGTTTATGAGTAGCTGCAAGTGGAAGTTAATGTGTAACTGTGGTGAAAGTTATTGAGTAAATGCTTGCGAAAGTCATATGTGTAACTGCGTGTGATAATTAATGTGTAACTGCAGGTGAAAGTACGAGTAACTTGAGGTGAAAGTATGAGTAACTTGCAAGCGAAGTTAACGTGTAACTGCAGCGAAATGGTGAGTAGCTGTACGTGAAGTTAATGAGTAACTTGCAAGCGAAGTTAATGAGTAGCTGCATGCGAAAGGCAACGAGTAACTGCAGTGAAAGTTAATGTGTAACTGCATGCGAAAGCTAATGTGTAACTGCAGTGAAAATCGATATGTAACTGCATCGGAAAATGTCCAGTAGCTGCATGCGAAAGGTAACGAGTAGCTGCATGTGAAAGATATGAGTACTTGCATGTGAAAGACGAGTAGCAAGCATGTGAAAGGTAATGAGTAACTGCAAGCGAAGTTAACCGGTAACTGCATGTGAAAGTCTATGTGTAACTGCAGAGAAAGTTGATGTGGAACTGCATCTGAAAGTTGATGAGTAATTTGTAAGCGAAGTTTATGAGTAGCTGCATGTGAAATGATAAGTAACTGCACTGAAGTTAATGAGTAACTTGCAAGCGAAGTTAATGAGTAACGGGCATGCGAAAGGCGACGAGTAACTGCTTGTGAAAGTTGATGTGTAACTGCATGTGAAAGCTAATGTGTAACTGCAGTGAAAATCGATAGGTAACTGCGTGAGAAAGTTGTTGAGTAATTGCAAGCGAAAGTTAACGAGTAGCTTCATGTGAAAGTTAACGAGTACCTGCCTGTGAAAAATGATGAGTACCTGCATGTGAAATGACGAGTAACAGCATGCGAACGATGATGAGTAACTGCATGTGAAAGTTAATGTGTAACTGTATGTGAAAGTTAATACTGATAGGTTGGTTTATGTGTAACTATGTGAAAGTTAATACTGATAGGTTGGTTTATGTGTAACTATGTGAAAGTTAATACTGGTAGGTTGGTTTATGTGTAACTATGTGAAAGTTAATACTGGTAGGTTGGTTAATGTGTAACTGCATGTGAAAGTTAATACTGGTAGGTAGGTTAATGTGTAACTGTATGTGAAAGTTAATACTGGTAGGTAAGTTAATGTGTAACTGCATGTGAAAGTTAATACTGGTAGGTAGGTTAATGTGTAACTGCATGTGAAAGTTAATACTGGTAGGTAGGTTAATGTGTAACTGTATGTGAAAGTTAATACTGGTAGGTAGGTTAATGTGTAACTGTATGTGAAAGTTAATACTGGTAGGTAGGTTAATGTGTAACTGTATGTGAAAGTTAATACTGGTAGGTAGGTTAATGTGTAACTGCATGTGAAAGTTAATACTGGTAGGTAGGTTAATGTGTAACTGTATGTGAAAGTTAATACTGGTAGGTTGGTTAATGTGTAACTGTATGTGAAAGTTAATACTGGTAGGTAAGTTAATGTGTAACTGTATGTGAAAGTTAATACTGGTAGGTAGGTTAATGTGTAACTGTATGTGAAAGTTAATACTGGTAGGTAGGTTAATGTGTAACTGTATGTGAAAGTTAATACTGGTAGGTTGGTTAATGTGTAACTGTATGTGAAAGTTAATACTGGTAGGTAGGTTAATGTGTAACTGTATGTGAAAGTTAATACTGGTAGGTAGGTTAATGTGTAACTGTATGTGAAAGTTAATACTGGTAGGTAGGTTAATGTGTAACTGCATGTGAAAGTTAATACTGGTAGGTAGGTTAATGTGTAACTGTATGTGAAAGTTAATACTGGTAGGTTGGTTAATGTGTAACTATGTGAAAGTTAATACTGGTAGGTAAGTTAATGTGTAACTGTATGTGAAAGTTAATACTGGTAGGTAAGTTAATGTGTAACTGTATGTGAAAGTTAATACTGGTAGGTAGGTTAATGTGTAACTGTATGTGAAAGTTAATACTGGTAGGTTGGTTAATGTGTAACTGTATGTGAAAGTTAATACTGGTAGGTAGTTAATGTGTAACTGTATGTGAAAGTTAATACTGGTAGGTAGGTTAATGTGTAACTGCATGTGGAAGTTAATACTGGTAGGTTGGTTAATGTGTAACTGTATGTGAAAGTTAATACTGGTAGGTAGGTTAATGTGTAACTGCATGTGAAAGTTAATACTGATAGGTAGGTAAATGTGTAACTGTATGTGAAAGTTAATACTGGTAGGTTGGTTAATGTGTAACTGCATGTGAAAGTTAATACTGGTAGGTTGGTTAATGTGTAACTGTATGTGAAAGTTAATACTGGTAGGTTGGTTAATGTGTAACTGCATGTGAAAGTTAATACTGGTAGGTAGGTTAATGTGTAACTATGTGAAAGTTAATACTGGTAGGTTGGTTATTGTGTAACTGTATGTGAAAGTTAATACTGGTAGGTTGGTTTATGTGTAACTGCATGTGAAAGTTAATACTGGTTGCTAGGTATGTTTGTTAATGTGTAATGTGGGATCACATTATAAAATAAATGTTTTTCTCCAAAACACGTTGGCCACAATTACTCATACCCTTTTATTAAATACCTTTTTGCAATATCTTTTTGCCAAGATAACTGCTCTGAGTTTTCTGTTATAATGCCTGATGTGTTTGCACAACACCTGACCTGAGATCAGAGACCATTCCTCCATACAGACTCTCCAGATCCTTCAGATTCCCAGATCCATGTTTGTGCTTCTCTTCAGTTCGGACCACTCATTTTCTATAGGGTTCTGGGACGGTCATGGCAGAAGCTTCATTTTGTGCTCCCTAACAAATGTTTGTGTTGATTTTGATGTTTGTCTTGGATCGTTGTCCAGATGGCAGATCCAACCATGGCCCATAATAAGATTTCTAGCAGAAGGTGTCAGGTTTTGATTTTTTATCTGTTGATGTTTAATAGAATCCACAATGCCATGTATCTGAATAAGAAGTCCAGGACCTCCTGCAGAAAAAAAGGGTCCCCAACATTAAAGATCCAATGGTTTATTAAATTTTACACATGGGGTACTTTTTATCCTCATGTCCACCAAACTATCTATTGTGCTTACTGCCAAAAAGCTCTTTTTTTAGTCTCATCTGACCAGTCAGTCAGTCGTGTCT